CTTCTTTCCTGTTAAATTGAGTTTTGTCTTTAGGACAATAGCCAGTCTGAATGGAAAATCTTGGAGTTATATTCAAACACATTTGAGTGGTAGTAAGATGGAGAAGGTCGCCTTGAGATAGTTTAATGGAGAAATAAATAACCACATTTGTGGGTATTGAAATGTGTCTGCTCCAAAATGGATTCTATTTACTTTATGGATAGTCTTTAAAACAAGCAATGAATGGAAGAAAACCACATCTGAGAATGACTGGCGTGAGAGATGATTTGGTCTGGGCATCTCATTATAGAGAAATTGCAGCAAGATAAACTCTGCAATCTTTCAAGAGAACATTTAGGATGGTGACAGTAGGTGCCTTCATATATCCCAATAAATAAGGGCAAAGTAATATCGGGGCATTTCAACTTTTAGAGTACCCTATGGAAGACCTCCAAGTGATTACTTTGGGAAACAGGATTCATTGAAAGGTTTCAGATTATTTTAGTAGGCTGCAACAAATGGAGTGGGTTTTTAAGAGATTACAGTTGTTAATTGATAAGGTACTTATACCGGTAGTCCTCGATGTACGACCACAATTGAGCCCCAAATCTATGTCATTAAGTGAGACATTTGTTAAGTGAGTTTTGCCCCATTCTGCAACCTTTCCTGCCACAGTTAAGTGAACCATTGCAGTTGTTAAGTTAGTAGCCCAGTTGTTATGTGAATCTGGCTTCCCCGTTGACTTTGTTTGTCAAGATCACAAAAAGGGATGACATGACCCCCAGGATACCGCAACCATCATAAACATGAACCTGTTGCCAAGCATCTGAACTTTGATCACGTGACCATGGGGATGCGGCAAGGGTTGTAAGTGTGGAAAACGGTCATAAGTCACTTTGATCAGTTTTGTTGCAACTTTGAACAGTCACTAAACAAACTGTTGTAACTCAAGGACTACCTGTGCTCTGTCTCTCACTGTAGCTTGCACCTATCTAACAAGCTTGTCTTCTCTTCCCTTCTTCCCACATTTCCAGTTATCAGCCTAGCTACTCTATCCACCTGATGAAGTGAGCTCATGAAAGCTTTTTTGGGTTTAATAAAAAGTGTTAGATGGAAAAGGAGCTACCAGATATTTTCTGATACTAAGTTTTATATAGGAGAATCTGGTAGCTCTTTTTTTCCTACCAACAGTAGTTTTACTGAATGCTAGTCATGGGGGAAAGAAAGCAAACGGTGGGACATGGTACAGATGATCGATCAAATTGCAGCTTTCAGTCTCTGGCAACCACTAGAAAAGAGTCACACCACCTTCAACATAGCAGGGGTTGAGTGACCCGAGGAAGCAGCGAAGATTCCTGTGTAGTTGTGATTGTTTTTGTGATGAATTGTAAGTACAGAGTGACCCAATTTAGACTAGGTCCAATGCACCCAGATGAAGGAAGCTTGTCACATCTTTCCAGTCCAGTTCAACGGAAGACTAATTTTCACTTGCAGAACTGAGCAAATAAAATAGATACAGGTTCCATGCTAATAAACAATAAGACTTAATGATGGCTAGTTAACAAACACTTTAACATTTTTTTCATGACATATCCATTTTGCACATACAGGTAGTCCTCAATTTATAATCACAAAAGAGCCCAACATTTCCATTGTTAAGCAAGGCAGTTGTTAAGTGAGTTTTGCTCCATTTTATGACCTTTTTTTGCCAAAGTTGTTAAGTGAATCCCTGTGGTTGTTAAGTGAATCATGTGACCATTAAGCGAGGCTGGCTTCCTCTGCTGACTTGCTTGCAAGGTTGCAAATAGTTTTCACATAATGCCAGGACCATGCCAGTTGCCAAGCGCCCAAATTTTGATCACATGACCATGGGGATGCTGCAACAGTTATAAGCATGAAAACAGGTAATGAGCAATTTTTCCAGTGCTGTTGTAACTTCAAACCAGTGGTGAGATTCTTCTTTTTTTTTACTACTGGTTCTGTGGGCATTGGTTGGTGGGCATGGCAGGGGAAGGGTACTGTAAAATCTCCAGTCAGAGATGGTGTTTGCCGGTTCTCTGAACTACTCAAAATTTCTGCTACCGGTTCTCCAGAACTGGTCAGAACCTGCTGAATACCACCTCTGCTTCAAACAGTCACTAAATAAAGGCTTGTAAATCAAGAATTACCTGTAATTCTAATGTGCTAGTTAGCAAATCTTGCTGTAGCCTGCCACAGTATTCAAAGCTATTCTGCTAAGCTTATTGCTAAAAGCCAAAATATTTCTTTGGAAAACATAGATGTAATATTGCTCTGTTTTTATTATGTATGCAAAAGATTCCAAGACTGAGTACCAAATGAATAGAATTCAAACCATAAATCAATTTCTGCTTCATCTTAATGGTGTAGCCTGCTCTTTAGAATGTAGGGCATGTATAAAATTAATACTGGAAGAGGAAAAAATAAAGTTATAAAGTATGGTGATCCAACGCCATATATAATAAACCAACCACAATATAATGTGGTTTGTTTGTTTTGGATTTAACATGTTCTTTGGACCTAGCTATTTTGGATTTCAAATTGTAGTTTACAGCTTTTAAATAAGGATTTTGACTTATCCAACAAAACACAGTTAAATGAATCATAGTTTAAGTGTTAGCTTTAAATTAAGATTACTGACAAGTTGTGAAAAATTGTAAGCCAGCTGTATCCAACTATAAAAAAGAAAGGCATCCATAAGTTGGTCTTACCTCCTGGACACAACTACGTAGGTTTATTAACAGTGGTAGGACAATGGCTTGACAGTGCCTTTAGGGAAGGGAGTTAAATTTCTCAGCCTAATTAACTGGCAGCATAAAACATTTTGCATTGCATGCCAATACCTCCCCTGAGCTGGGCAATGCTTCCTGGCAATACCAATATTATTTGTTACTCTTTGTGATGATGCAGAAAAAAAATTAACTAATGCTTAGCTATGTACTCATAGACAGGGCAGTGCCAAGCAAATATCAAGTTGCTGCAATTCTGGGAAGGAGGTGGGCACACTAACACTGCGGTCTAATTAACATTTGCTTAGTGCTTTGCAGATACATCATGCACTGTAAACTGAACTAGGAATATGGGTAAAGCACGGAATATGTAGGGGATTATCAGCTAAAACAGAGGTGGACAACTATGGCCCCTTTATGATCTATGGACTTGCTAGCTCAGGAATTCTGGGAGTTGAAGTCCATAGATTGCTAAAAGGGCCATAGTTGCCCATCCATGAACCAAAAGGTCCTAGAGATGCCCCCTCTTCATATAGGCCAAGGGGGTTGAAACTTTTCAAAAGCAACCGTTACAGTGGTATTTATCTGGAAGCTACCTGCCCCTAATCCCCTAGAAACATTTGCTTTAATTAATGTCCTTCAGAACATTGTAAAGGAGAAACAATGAATGTGCTCTTGGGTTTTACTGTTCCTTGTTCTTGTTTCTCTTTTTCGTCATTTCTGCTGATGGCCACTAAGAAAAATCAGAGTAGGCTTAAAGTTTATGCTAAGAAGAAAATTATAAAGAATATTCCAAATGAAGCAACCGTCTGGGTAAAATACTATTTTGGTAATATATGTATAACATTACCAAAATAGTATTTACCCAGACAATAGCTTCATTTGGAATAAAATAATGAACACTATTTTCTCATTTGTTTCCTACCCAGGCCAGCAATAGCTATTCAATGTTTTTCAGTCCACCCTAGAAAAGCTTGAGATTGAAATGAGACTTTGTAGATGCAAACCATCATTCTACTACTGAATATGGCCGTTAATCTGATTTTGCTTTATTGCAGTCTATTGAAGGCCTTTGTGAGGCTCAGAAGCTTGTCCTGTTGATGGTGGTAGTATATCTGCACTACTGTTCATTCACATTCAGAGCAGGAAGGCAAAAAATAAATTTGCAAATACTCAGGAACTTAAGGGGCTGGACAAGTGTGGTTGAGATGTATACTTAGCAAGTGTGCCTGCCAGTGGAATGTGTGAATTTGGGCCCTTTTAGATCATGAGGACTTTACAGCCTTCCTCTAATTTTTGTTGGGATAATTGACTTCAAGAGCAAGCTGCAGTGTGTTCATTGTTGGATTGAGGTCACAGTTTCCATAAAATGTCTGATTCTTTATGGCTGGAATTATTTGGCACATATATTAGATTTAAACATGCTCTTCTTCAGTAGTCAGAGATGCTTAATTGAAAAGAAACAGCCATGAAATTACACTAGGGAATGGTCCTGCATTTTCTAAGAGGCAGCAGACTGAATCATTATGTGGTCAAACCCTTCCTTTCCATCTTGGTTTTAAAGTAATGAATCATGTTTCCTGCAAAAGAGAGGTCAGAAACACAGGGGGATCTTATTTCTAGGGTTTCTAATGCTCTGTATCATCTTTTTTCTCTGATGAATCAGAATCATGCAGATTAAAACTTGTGTCTTCCATTTTTTTTGGCCTAATGGTGGATATGTAACTGTGATATTTCATTGTCCCCAGGCCCAGAGATTCTGAGATCTTATGTACATCCATTCTTCCATACTTGCTTTCCCTAAGCAACAATCTTCCTTCTTCAAAAATAACTAAAAAACTGAACCAAATTGGACAGAATTACTGCAGCAAGAAGAGGATTGGGCAGTTGAATGTTTACATCCATGCATTTGTCTTAACCTTGCCTTTTTGACCACTTATTCTGACCAATGCATTTCAGCTGAGCGTTATACATAATATGCAAAGAGAGAACAGATATTGTTGCCTTTGGCAAAAAGCCAGCTAAAGCGATAGAGCAGACCGACTGTTTCTCAGGGATGTTTTTCCTTTACTGGGGTTATAGATTGTGCTAGAAAAGGAAACAGGCCTTTCCAGACAGTTGGCCAATCCAACTCTGCTGCCTGCCAACACAAGGGAGCTCCCCATTTCCAAAAGGGAGGGAAAACAAAGCAACCGATTCTTCCTGCATCATAAGCTGCGTCTGTAGTATAGCAGCCTCAGCGATACTGACACATCATTCCTCTCCTGTCTCCAGGGCCCTCAAGACATTACTGCTGTTTAAAGACAAGAGTCTGCTCTGACACTGCTTGTGGGAACTTTACTGAAGCCTGCTGAGCCAGGGACATAAAGGAAACCTTTTGCTAATCAAGACCCAGGCATCCCTCCTTCATCCCCTGCTATTCTCAATAGCATGTGTTCAGGACTGACCCACTGATCCTCGTCAGGTAAGTGGCAAATTCCATAAGACTGGGGTTTTGGAAGGGAGGGAAGTAGCTAAGTTTTGGAAGAGAAGTCTGCTGTGCTGTTTAGCGTGAGGATTTCCTTCAGCAATCTGTAACCAGCCTACCTGAATAATTTATTCTGGCTTCTGCCCTTGCAGATTTGATGAAAACCAGGAGTTCAGCTTTTGTTGAGTCTTAAACCCTCTTTTATCCTGAATATACGGTATAGCACTCTTTTAGAAATGTTTGCTTGAAATCTATGAACTTTTCAGAGCTGAAGGTGGGGAATTTCTTTTCAGTCTAAAATTGAAGGCAGCGACTTTCTTCAACAAAATGCTAATTTATACCACAATTAAGAGCTTAGATAGAAGGGCTTTATATCAAGAAAACTTCTAAATTATCTAAATTTAGTGTCATCTGCTGAGGCTGTGACTTTGGCTCCGGGATTTAGACAACAGCCCTCAAAGACCTACCTAGACATGCATAGATGTATTTTTCCATAAAAAGAATAACTTCTGGCTCTGAAATTGTCTGTCCATGAATGCCTGTCCATGAATGGAAGATTAGGAAGAAGGGATGAAGTTTTGCACGAGAGTATTTCGTGTAGCAATGGCTCATGGATCATCTTGTCGATCATGAATGGGGAAAATATCTCTTGAATGTCTTGGAATGCCTGTAAGGCATTTTGGTCTGACGCTTTATAGCTCTCAGCAGGAACTGCCCTGTTGCTTTGAATTCACCTATGAGATCACTTCTTTGACCTTATCAATAGAAGGAGGCAAGTCTAGGGCATTTAAGATTGGCAGGCGAGGAATCTGCTGTAAAACATCAGGATCATCTCTGGACAGCCCATTGAGTAGATTGGAAAAATGTCCAGCCCAGTGGTTTTTCAGCCCTGCCTAATGTTGGATCATGACAGCAAAGGGGGAGCATTATGATTTAGAAAGACCATAAACTAACTTCATGATACTGACAAACTTTCTAGTGGCATCCATGTCTGCATAAAGTTCTACCTGCTCAGCTTTCTTTGCCATCACTTGCCCTGCATTTCTTGCAGTTTTATCTGTACTTTGGACTGCAGATGTTTAAAGTTGTCTTTCTTTGAAACAGATAATGGATCGTTCTGCCAGTCTGCATAAGCCCTGTCCTTGTCCTGAAGGGCTGCTGAAATGATCTTGTGTTTTTCATCAAACTAGTTTTCATGTGCCTGTGTTTTCAGTCCAAATACAGTTGTGCAGTCTATATCAGGGGTCCCCAACCTGTGGGCCACAGCCCACTACTGGGCCGTGGCCTATTCGCAACTGGGATGCATGAGTGACAGGCTGGCATGCGCTCTCCCACTCATGCAAGCAGCGGGTGCACATGCCTGCCACTCACACAAATGAAGCTGTGCACATGCATGTATATACCTGCCCCTTGCACAAAACCATCCCCTCTTCTCCCTGCGCTGGGTCGCCAACCAGGTCTATATGATATCTTTAAAACTATGTCCACTTTTCAGAACAGGTTCCTACAAGCAGTAAATTGCTGGAGAGTTTTTCTCTAAGTACATCTTGGAAATGTTGGACTTGATCTGGGTCTTCTAATCTTCTGATGTTGAATGACTTTCTTGGTTGGTTAAAATGTAGAGGGGCTAAGTTTAGGTTGCAGACCGTGGTCAGTCCAGCACTCAGCACCTTGAATGGTTCAAGTAATGGTGCCATCTTGAATATCATGCTGTCATACTATGAGCTAGTCATGCAGGTGCCAGTGGCGTGCTATTCAGTTTGCCTGCCCTGTGTTTCCCAAGGACTCCGTCTCAGTTGTCGCTGTTTGTCCCCCACTCTGGCATTGAAATTTTCCAGAATGATGAGTTTGTCACTGATGAGTTGTTCAAATAATCCAGGTCCTTGTAGGAACCTTCCTTGTCTTTATCTGGACTCATGAGAGTTGGTTTGTAGACATTGACAGTACTTTAAAGTGCTTATTGATCTTTTAGTTAATGTGGGATTGTTTTAAACCAATCTAATAAGATTGTCAATTTTGGATTCCTTGCTCCTGGAAATACTATAAAGCTGTTTTAAAAAAGAGTGAATTCTGGTGAGATTTGGCAATCATAAGATTTTGCCATATAAACATTTCGGATGATCCTTTTATTTCATTTAGGATGTAATAGTGGATGTTAGAGGTACTTTGGGTGTTATGGCACCTGTAGGATAAACATTTCAGATAAGCCATTATTGCCAACAATCAGAATGGCCTCGTATTTTGTGTACTGTAATCTTCCCTAAAACCAGATGGAATTGTTTATTTATAGGAGATGGACCATATATGATGATCTCAACTCCTCTAACTAGAGAACATCCAGATCTCCTCTTCCAACATCTTTGCTTTAAAGAAAGCTCCCAAGAGAGATAAAGTTGTTAGACATTAATATTCCAGCATTTCCAGATGGCTCTGTTTCCAGTCTCATCCTCCCAAAGTATTTTGAGGTCCGCTTCTGCTGAGCTCATAATGCTAAAACAGGCAGAGTAAACCATTAACCAGTCCAGGCTGCCTCCCACCCTTCAGCTATAGCAGCTCCTGATAATTTTTTTTTAAAAAATGCCCCTATTCTATACCAAAAAGGGAAAACTAAACTATTAGTCCTCATTTTATCAACTTTGGGCATTTTCAATACATGCATATGTGAATAGACATCGGTTGTAATAAAAACCCTGGGGTGATATGTTGTGTAGACCTCAGCCCCTATTGGAAGGCTGTGTTGGTTCATGTCCCTGCAGTTTTGCAAGCAGAGGCTTTTCACGAGAGCTATAATAACGGCTGTAGGCTGCAAGGCGGGATATCTATGTGAATCATGCAGAGAGATAGCAATGGCCAGGGGTGGGAGTCTACCAGTTCGGACCAGTTCTATAGAACTGGTTGTTATGATTCTGTGCAGTTCGGAGAACCGGCAAATCGTGCTCCTGTCTGGCCCCACCCCTCTCCACCTGTCCCTCCCAGTCAGTCCTTATCGCGCATGCGTGATATTGCACGCATGCCCAACATCGCTGACTGCATTCTCCCCCACCCAGTCACTCCTTAAGGTATTTCTTTTTTCCCTTCCCGACGATCAGCTGTGCTGATGATCAGCTGTGCTGGGATCCCCCTCCCTGTCTTACTGCTTCACCCAGGAGGCTTCCCTGAGGCCCAGGAGGCAAAAAAAAATGGGGGGGTGCTGCAGAAAAGAGGAGGAGGAAGAGGAAGAGGAGGAGGAGAAGGAGAAGGAGAAGGAGAAGAAGAAGAAGAAGAAGAAAAGAAGAAGAAGAAGAAGAAGAAGAAGAAGAAGAAGAAGAAGAAGAA